CCTCACCCTGCTCCTGAGGGGGCACCTGCTGCCGGCGATGGCCCTGCTCACACCCACGGCCAGCGCTGGAGCCGCTGCTCGCACCTGCTGCCAATGCCTGGCACCAGTCCCAATTGCTCGGTGCTGTCAGCAGGTGTGAGCAGCAGCTGTGGGCCCTGATCACCCCTGAGGGCTTCTTTACCTCTCCCTGCTCCTGAGGGGTGATCGAGGAAGCAGCCGCCACTTGAACCTGCTGACGGCACAGCCCCACTTGCACTTGCTGCTGGTGCTGGCCCTAAATGCTCCACGCCATCAGTGGGTGTAACGGGGTCGGCGCTGTCAGTGCATGGGAGCAGGGTTGCCAGCAGATGGGACTGGGGCCACAGTAGGAGGGGCTGGGCAGGGGCATGGCGGATGGGCTGAGACCTGCCCCTGTGCCCACCATAGCCTTGCAGCCCACAGTTCCTTTAAAGGTGCATGAATTTGTGCACTGGGCCCCTAGTTTTTATATAACTTCCAAAGTACATTTTTAAGTAACTGAGTAGGTGGGCTCTATATATTTTTTTCTGTTGCCAGGTAATTTATCTGCCTTCATCTATTTACTAATTTCCTTTTTGATAATGAAATATTTTAAATATACAAAAATTTTAAAGAATGATATAAGAAATTCCCATGTACACACCACCTGGATTTAAATGTTCTAATGTTATTTCTAACAATGATCTCTAGGAATGTGAATGATGTAGCATTAGAATGGAAGTCTAGACTTCCAGTTGTGGCTCCAGCTGCAGAAACTGACTTGTTCAATTTAATCAGCTCTGTTTTTCCTGACATAGGTTCTATGATGGTCGGCAGCCTGTGTTGGCAATCACTGATCTAGATGTGATCAAAACAGTCCTAGTAAAAGAATGTTATTCTGTCTTCACAAATCGGCGGGTAGGTATCCATTCTTTTAAAAATTAAATTGTTATTTATTTATAAAGTTTCATATTGAAATAATAATAAATTAACAGGAAGTTATAAAAAATGCAGGAATATCCCCTTTTCACTCTGTTTCCTCTAATAGTAATCTATACTAATAAAAGGGTGATATGTTAATTAGACCAGGTCAACCAGACATCTTCCGGTTGTCCTACCTTCCTTCCGGACAAAACCATGATGGCAGGGGCCAAGGCAGAGGCAGTTAGGGGCAATCAGTTGGCAGGGGCACCGAGCCTCTAGTCTATACTAATAAAAGGGTGATATGTTAATTAGACCAGGTCAACCAGACATCTTCCGGTTGTCCTACCTTCCTTCCGGACAAAACCATGATGGCAGGGGCCAAGGCAGAGGCAGTTAGGGGCAATCAGGTTGGCAGGGGGGAGCAGTTAGAAGTGATCAGGCTGGCAAGGGAGGACAGTTAGGTGCAATCAGGCCAGCAGGGGAGGGTAGTTAGTGGCGATAAGGCAGGCAGGTAGAAGGGTTAGGGGCAATCAGGCAGGCAGGCAGGTGGATGGTTAGGAGACAGCAGTCCCAGATTGTGAGAGGGATGTCCGAGGGTGCAGGCTGGGCTGAGGGACCGCCCCCCCCCCGCCCCCCTGTGCATAAATTTCATGCACTGGGCCTCTAGTCCTATATAATAAAAGCATAATATGCAAATTGACTGAACAGTGGAATGACAAGTCAGCAGGGGGTGGGGCTGGCGAGCAGGTGGTACCAGGCCAGCTAAGACATGTGCCAGCGGGCAGAAGGAGGGGACAGTGGTGGTGGGGCGGCTTGCCAGCCAGTGCCATCCCCTGATCAGCCTGCCCAGTTGCCTACTGCAGAGGGAGTCCACCAGCAGTCGCAGCAGCAAGGTGATGGGGGACGGGGCCAGCCGCTCACTGGCTGTGCCATCCCCTGATTGGCCTGCCCAGTCAGACATCTCCTGAGGGCTCCCAGACTGCAAGAGGGCACAGGCTGGCTGAGGGACCCCCCTGCATGGACAAATTTTCATGCACTGGGCCTCTAGTAACCCATGTAACTATAGTACAATATCAAAGCAGGAAATTGACATCAGTACTATATCTATAGAGGCTATTCTGATTTCATAATTTTTATGTGCACTCATTTGTGCGTTTCTTATAAAATTTATCATGTATGTAGATTTGTGTAACTACTGCCATAAATAAATATACAGAACTGTTCCATCTCCATAAGGCTCCCTCTTACTATTCTTTTATAATCATAGTGTGTAGCTTATCTTTTTTTTGATATTCTTTAAAAAAAATCTTTATTGTTGAGATTATTACAGATGTCCCTCTTCCCCCACCCCAATAGCGCCCCTCCACCCAGTTCCCACCTCACCCCAGGCCCTCACTACCCTATTGTCTGTATCCATAGGTAATGCATACATGCATATAAGATCTTTGTCTAATCTCTTCTCGCATCCCCCACACCCCTTTCCCTCTGAGAGCTATCAGTCTGTTCCATTTCCATGCCCCTGATTCTATTCCATCCACCAGTTTATTCTGTTCATCAGATTTTTTATTCATTTGACTTTTAGATTCAATTTTTGATAGATATGTATTTGTTGTCACTTTGTTGTTCATATTTTTTATCTTTACCTTTTTCTTCTTCTTCCTCTTCTAAAAGAATACCCTTAGCATTTCATATAATACTGGTTTGGTGGTGATGAACTCCTTTAGCTTGTTCTTGTCTGTGAAGTTCTTTATCTGACCTACAATTCTAAATAATAGATTTGCTGGGTAGAGTAATCTTGGTTGTAGGTCCTTGCTTTTCATCATGTGAATATTTCTTGTCACACCTTTCTGGCCAAAGTTTCTATTGAGAATTCAGCTGACATTCATATGGGTACTGTCTTATAGGTAACTGACTGCATTTCTCTTGCTGTTTGAGATTGAATCTCTTTACGATTTTCTCTTTTTATTTAACCTTTGGCATTTTAATTATGATGTGTCTTTGTGTGGCCCTCTTTGTGTTCCTCTTGTTTGGGACTCTGTGCTTCCTGGACTTGTAAGTCTATTTCTCAGCCTCAATTCCCGCTGGGTTTTACAGCCAGAAATTATGAGGATTTTCTCTCCCCAGTACTGGGACCCTGGGGCGCCTGATATGGTGCTAGGACCCCTCACTCCTTAGGGGGATCTCCACAGCCAAGATATCCCTTTTGGTAGGACAAGTATTTTTAAAACCTTGTTAAAGCCGTTTGTAATCTAATTTCTTTGGGGTCTGTTACTAGAAGTTTATTGGGTTCCTTTGATGGAATCATGTTTCCCTGATTCTTTGTGGTTACTGTAGTTTTGCAATGGTGTCTGTGCATTTGAAGAAGCAGTCACTTCTTGCAGACTTTACAAAGACACTTTAATAAGGAAAGACCTTTACTTATGGGTTGGGGTACACTGGAGGGACCCTTGGTCTAGTGATGCAGGATGCCGCCTGGGGGTGTGTAGTGGCTCCAGGTCTCATGGGCAACATTGGCCAGGTAGCAGGGGTTCACAATATAACCAGCTATATGATCCTTGACAGCAAGAGCTGTGTTTGTTCCACTGTGGCTGCAAGGGCAGTTGGGGTTTTCAACAGCATCAAGAGGTCCGGTGATGAGGGACTGGGACAGGCAACAGTGGCAGCCAAATTTAGTGGCATGCAAATTCTTGGGGCTAACTGCAGGCACACACGTCCAATGGTGAGATCCAGTTCCAGTGGCAGGGGTTGGGGCCATCTGTGGGCACACAAATAGGTTAGAGTGCCTGGGCTGTCAGTGTATACTCATGTAGCTATAGTAGCTACCTACAAAGGCATGCAGGGCAGTGGGAGCTGGTGATGGAGTGGAGGGTGAAAGTATGCAGGTGTGTGGCTGCAGGGATTAGCTGTGGGCATATGTGTCAATGTAGTCCACTAATAGTCAGAGCTGGCTCTAGGCACCCGAGAATCTGCAGGGAACTGGGCTAGTGTTATACACATGCCCAGTCACAGAGGCCAGGGCTGTCTGCTAGCACAGATCCTGCTCAGTGGTGGCACTAATTGGGGCAGCACTGGTGGGGGTGGTGTGTGATTGGGCAGGATTCAGGCTCCTGGAATTTGTGAGTGTGAAAACCTGTGGGACTGTCAGCAGTAACATTTTCAGGGGTTTCACAGCATCTGTGCCCAGTTGTTTCCTCAGCCTCAAAGGCTACTGGGGTCTTCTGCAGAGCTGGACACAAAAAAATTGTGATCACTCATGCCACTTGGCTGATACTGGTAGTTCTTGCTCTTCTTTGTTCTTAACTATCTCTATGCCAAATCAGGTAATTTGTACAATGCCCTGAAAGGCTGGGGAAAATTATCACCCACCCTATTTCTCTTTTCTCAGCAAGGGGTTAGACCCCCAGGCTAAGAACTTCCCTCCTGGCACTGAGCAGCACCAGCCTGGGGGATGAGGCGATGCAGACAAAATAAGACTATTTTCCCTATCCACCTAAACAGTTTTTCTCAGGGATTTTTTTGCTCCACTCTGTTGCTGATTTTCTTGAGGGAACTCCTGAGCTCTCTTAGACCTATTTTTTGTGTGTGTGGATAGCTGTCTAATTGTTTTTTTGGGGGGGTGGGGAGGGCAATAGAGGCAGGAGTCTCCTACTCCAACAGGTGATGTTACTCCAGGCTTATCTCATTCATGTAATGTTACCTTTAGGTTTTGTAGATACTCTTTATCAGGTTGAGGAAGTTTCCCTTTTTTCTAGTTGGTGAGTTGTTTTTTTTTTTTTAAATATCATGAATGTGTATTGGGAGATACACATCTTAGAACAAAACGTAGTGTTGGAACAAGGGAAACCAAGATGGCGGCATAGGTTAACGCCAGAGATTGCTGCTTCGAACAACCAATTCAAATTACACCTAAAAGACGGAATGGACATCATCCAGAACCACAGGAAGGCTGGCTGAGTGGAAATTCTACAACTAGGAGTAAAGAGAATATCATAACCAGACTCAGAGGAGGCACAGTGCGGACGTA